ATATCGAAAGAGATAATTGCGCACTTAAATCTCGAACCAAATCGACTAAATTACGAATACCGAATTCTCATTCCCTCTGGCGAAGAAATGTGCTCCAATCTAGCCATAATCAATTGCCCAATCCGAGTTCACACTCAACCCATGAATTTCAATTTAATCCTCATACCGATCCAAAACTTCAAAGTTATACTAGGCATGGACTGGTTAACCAAATTCAAAGCCCAAATCGATTGTGCTTAAAAAACAAGTATTTTTCCCCTTCTGAACGGCAAAACCCTAAAATTCTAAAGTCAACCCAAAACCTCGATTCCAATCATATCCGCGATGAAAGCAGTCAAACTCATTCACAAGGGTCATTCCGGCTACTTAGTGGATATTCTGAAATCCGAGCCCGATCCCAAAGCCCAAATATCCGACATTCGAGCTGTACAAGAATTCCGGATGTATTTCCTGATGACACTCCCGGACTTCCGCCCGATCGAGAAATCGAGTTCGAAATCAATCTCATTCCCGGAGCTGCGCCAATTTCCAAAGCCCCGTACCGTATTGCCCCGATGGAATTGAAGGAGCTGAAAGACCAAGTTCAAGAATTGCTCGACAAAGGCTATGTTCGACCCAGCCATTCCTCATGGGGCGCACCGGTTCTCTTTGTCAAAAAGAAACACGGATCCATTCGCCTTTGCATCGATTGTCGTGAACTCAACAAAATCACAATCAAGAATAAATACCCTCTTCCTCGAATCGATGATCTGTTTGACCAACTCCAAGGCTCATCGGTTTTCTCAAAAATTGATCTCCGATCCGGTTACCACCAACTCAAAATCAAAGAATCCGACATCTCCAAAACAGATTTCAGAACCCGATATGGCCATTACGAATTTGTCGTCATGCCCTTTGGTCTAACCAACGCACCCGCAGCTTTCATGGACCTGATGAACCGAGTCTTTCACCAATACTTGGACCGGTTCGTAATTGTCTTTATCGACGACATTCTCATCTAATCCAAAACCCAAGAGGAGCATATGTCACACATTCGCACCGTACTCCAGATTCTCCGATCGCATCAACTATACGCCAAGTTCAGCAAATGCGAGTTCTGGATTTCGAGTGTGGCTTTCCTTGGTTACAATGTTTCAGAACAAGGAATCTCCGTCGACCCTAGCAAGATAGAAGCGGTGGCAATTCCGAAGAACGCAAGGGAAATCCGAAGTTTCCTTGGACTAGCCGGCTACTACCGCAAATTCGTGAAAGATTTCTCGAAGCTTGCCTCTCCACTCACCCGATTGACTCGAAAAGACGTCAAGTACCAGTGGACGCCCGAATGCGACGCCAGTTTCACCGAATTAAAGGCTCGACTCACATCAGCACCAATTCTCGCACTACCAGAGAAAGTCGGAGAATTCATAGTCTACAGTGATGCCTCAAAATTAGGATTAGGCGCCGTCCTTATGCAAAATGGGAAAGTAACCTACGCCTCACGTCAACTCAAAGAGTACGAACGCAATTATCCAACGCACGATCTCGAATTAGCCGCCGCTGTTTTCGCACTCAAGATCTGGCGACACTATCTCTATGGTGAAAAGTGTACCATCTACACCGATCACAAAAGTCTGAAATACTTCGTCACCCAGAAGGACTTGAACATGAGGCAATGAAGATTGCTCGAACTAGTCAAAGATTACGACTGCGAGATACTCTACCACCCCGGCAAAGCAAATGTGGTCGCCGACGCACTTAGCCGCAAATCGATCAACGCCCTTATAGTCCAACCTTACTTGGGAGAATCGATCAAATCAGCCCAACAAAACGATCCACAAATCCTCAAAATTCGCAATAACCTCAAATCCAATTCCAACTTCCGAATTTCTGAAGAAGGTCTCGTCCGATTCCAAAATCGCATTTACGTCCCCAACGATCCAAATGTTCGCCAACTAATCTTAACCAAAGCTCACCAAACCACGTACACTTGCCATCCAGGAGAAACCAAGATGTACCAAGATCTCAAAGAGCTCTATTGGTGGCCTAGAATGAAGAAAGACTTGGCCCGATTCGTCGCCGAATGCCTAGTTTGCCAACAAGTCAAAGCGGAACATCAAAGGCCCGGAGGTCTACTTTAATCAAACCTAATTCCCGAATGGAAATGGGAAGCTATCAGAATGGACTTCGTGCAACGATTTCCGAAGACCCAAAGGGGATCCGACGCCATTTGGGTGATCGTTGACCGACTGACCAAAACGGCTCACTTTCTTCCGGTACGAATGACCTTCAATTTAGAGAAGCTGACCGAACTATACGTCCGTGAAATAGTCCGACTCCACGGTGTCCCCGTCTCAATTATTTCCGACCGAGACCCTCGATTTACGTCAAAATTCTGGAAAAGTTTACACAAAACCCTCGGAACGCGATTGAACTTTAGCACCGCCTATCACCCCCAAACCGATGGCCAATCCGAACGAACTATCAAAACCCTAGAAGATCTTCTCCGCACTTGCATTCTCGACTTTGGAGGAAATTGGGAATCCCGCCTCCCACTAATCGAATTGGCGTACAACATAGCTTTCACTCATCAATTGGAATGGCACCCTATGAAGCTCTTTACGGCCGCAAGTGTAGGTACCCGCTTCAATGAGACGAAATTGGCGAAAGAAAATTTCTTGGTCCCGACCTAATCCAACAAACCATTGAAATAATCAAAAATATCCGAGAGAAAATGCGAATCGCCCAAGATCGGCAACAAAGCTATGCCAACACTTGAAGGAGAGATCTCGAATTCGAAGTCGGAGACTCCGTATTCTTAAAAGTGGCGCCTTTCAAAGGAATTATGCGATTTGGGAAAAAGGGAAAATTAGCACCGCAATTTATTGGCCCATTCGAAATTCTCGACAAAGTTGGTACGCGCGCCTACCGACTAGCCTTACCACCCAATTTATCCAACTTTCACAATGTCTTCCACGTTTCAATGCTTCGAAAATACATTCGCAGTCCAGACCACATATTGAAAACCGAACCGATCGAACTAAACCCTAATCTTTCCTACGAAGAGAAACCTTCCAAAATACCAAAACCAAAACCCTCCGAAACCGAAAGCTAAACTTTGTTAAAATCCTTTGGCAAAACCATACACCCGAAGAAGCCACGTGGGAACGAGAAGAAGAAATGCGCGAACGTTACCTCGAGTTGTTCAGGTAACAATTTTGGGGACAAAATTTCTTTAAGGGGGGGAGATTGTAACACCCCACCTTTCCAAAACCCGAAAACCCTAAAAACCCGAAACTAATATTTCTAACTCGAGAATCCTTAGGTAATATTATTACGTGATATTAATTATATGCATTACGTGAATTTAATTATGTGACTTACGTGAATAATTACATGCGTTATTTGGAATGTGGTGATTTCATGTTGTGAAATTCGTGAGTAGATATATATGTGTGAATTATGTGATTTAGTATCATTTCGAGTAAATTGAAATTCTAGGAATTTCATGAATTACGTGACTTATGTGAATAATTGCATATCTTAATTATTTGGTGGATTATTTTCGAAATGTGGTAACTTATGT